TATAACATGCAATATAAATAAGCTTTAGAATTAATAGATTCTTTAGCTTTAAAAGTGACTATGAGCTTAGATTTTTGAGTCTCTGCATACCTATTGTGAGAGACATTTCCATTTATGAGTGTTTTTTTGTGTTTTTGTTTTCCTACTATTCTATTATGTGCTGATATATTACATTCAGTATAGGAGTGGTATACATGACAAGAAGTTTTTAGCTCATAGACTGTCTTTCCCTGGTGGTTAGAGCTGGTTTGCATGATTTTGACACATCCTGTGTTTGCTGCACCTTAGTTCTGAGAAATCATTTGTGACATCTGTAGAGGCCGCAGCCAAAGGGGGAGGGGGGATATCTATATAAAACACCCACAGAGATAATGGTTTTGGTCTTCTCACTGCAGAATCTCTGTATGTCAGGCGACCTTCTTGCAAGAATAACCTTCCTACTTTTCTGATAACATTGGTCTCTGAGTTTTATTCCACCTCACCACAAAGTTGGAAAATATTTTTCAATGACACTATATAAATTTTTAGGCCTATTATATATTATATCAGCTATATAAACTAACTTCACTTTCATTTGCACTGATAAAGCAAGTTTTTTATTTTTATTTTTTATTTTAGTTATCTTCTTTCATGGACAGTTGCTGTGTAAATGTGTTTAAATTCATATTTTTAAATCCTTTAATCTTCGGCAGTGAATTGTGCTGACTCTCTCACAAGTCAATCACAGTATTTTTTATGTTTCAAAACATGTGAATGGCTGTTCGCTGCTGATGTCACACTTTTATATGCACATGCTCCATGAACTTAGGATCAAAGCCCGAGTTGACAGAAGAAAGTTGATGATCAACGATTCAGCATCATATTAAACAAAGCCTGACTGCATTTGTTTGGTTTGTCAACTCAAAACTAATCCTGTAACCCTGAGTTTGTTCAGCCATCATCATGGGTCATTCACAGTTTGTATCACTCCGATTATCTGTGAATCATTCTGCAATTTAGGGTACATTTCATATCCTTTGATGATAATTATATTTTTTCCTAACAATTTACTTATTATACATAAAAGAAAAGCATATATAAAAACTGCATAGTCTTCACTGTATGAATTAACTATGCTACAAAATCTATTCTGTCAATAGCATCGAGTGATTTTTTATTTGTCTTTTGTTGTCTGAGATGGGGATGTAACGATTAACTGCGAGCCGGCTGAAAATCGATTCAAATATGTGACGATTCAAATCGTGTGAGATGCCAAACAAATTGCGATACAATTGGAGTTTATATGAATGTATCTCTGAGGGGAACTGACTATCTTTAGAAAAGTTTATGTGGTATTTTCTTTTCATCTTGCCTCTGAACAATGCATATTAAAGTAGTGTTCATAAGCGCAGCTCTGCTTTGTTTACAGCGGTAACCCAGGAAACACTGTATCATTGCTGTTCATGAGCGCCACCTGCTGTTAGAAAGTGAATCTGTGTCTCATTCAGCTCGTCTGTTGTTTCGTTCAGATAGGTTTTATGTAGTATAGTTCCACAAAACTAAAGTCAGACCATTTTGTTTTTGCTTCGAATTTCGAAATTATACAATCTAATTTAGATTAAAAACTTTAATCTAAATTGCATTGCAATAGTCCAGCCTGGATAGAACAAGAGCTTGAACAAGGAGTTGTGTTGCATGTTCTGAAAGAAAGGGCCTGATCTTCCTAATGTTGTATAAAGCAAATCTGCAGGACCGGGCAGTTTTAGCAATGTGGTCTGAGAAATTCAGCTTATCATCAATCACAACTCCAAGGTTTCTAGCTGTTTTTGAAGGAGTTATGGTTGATGAGCCTAACTGGATGGTGAAATTTTGATAAAGTGATGGGTTTGTTGAAACCACAAGCAGTTCTGTCTTAGCCAGGTTGAGTTGAAGGTGATGGTCCGTCTTCCAACAAGAAATGTCTGTTATACATGCTGAGATGCGAGCAGCTATCGTCGGATCATCAGGATGGAATGAGAGGTAGAGTTGAGTGTCATCAGCATAGCAGTGATATGAAAATCCATGTTTCTGAATGACAGAACCTAGTGATGCCATGTAGACAGAGAAGAGAAGTGGTCCAAGAACTGAGCCCTGAGGCATCCCATTAGCCAGATGTTGCGATTTGGACACTTCACCTCTCCAAGATACCTTGAAAGACCTATTTGAGAGGTAAGACTCAAAGGACTGGCGTGCGGTTCCTGAGATGCCATTTTCCAAAAGGGTTGACAGGAGAATCTGGTGGTTCACTGTATCAAAAGCAGCAGACAGATCCAGCAAAATAAGTATAGAAGATTTGGAAGCCGCTCTTGCCAGTCTTAGGGCTTCAACAATAGAAAGCAAGGCAGTCTCAGTCGAATATCCACTTCTGAAGCCAGATTGGTTGCTGTCCAGGAGGTTGTTCTGTGTGAGAAAGGCTGAGACTTGGTTGAACACAACTCGTTCAAGTGTTTTTGCAATGAAAGGTAGAAGGGAAACCAGTCTGTAGTTCTCTAAAAGAGTTGGGTTAAGAGTGGGTTAATGTATTTCCAGAGTTCTCACTGGTTCTGCCCAGCTCACCTTCGTTTCCTTCATCGGACAACTCCTTGTCTCCAGCCTCATGGAGGGTCCCGCCCAGCCTCCTACTCTGTCTCTGCCAGCCAGTCCATTAACCCAGCCTCCGCTGGCCTCTGTAGATCCCTCAGGTCACCCTCAGCTCGCCAAACCCGGTAGGTCGTTGACGTCCTACTCCATCGGCTCCGTCTCCATCAGTCGCCCCCCCTGGTGTCACCAGCCCTACTTCCACCATGGCTCCTCTCTCCATGGACTCCACCATTGGCCGCAGTCCTGGCTGCGGTCTGGGTCCCTGCCTGGCTCCTCCTGCTCCTGGCTTCTTCCTGGTCCTTAGAACTGTCACTCCTTCTTTTTGCCTGCCCCTCATCTGCCCGTCATCCACCTCCAGAGCCCCTACCCTCCCTCAGTTGGGCTGCTCCACGGTGCGAGGACGTACCTTCTGGGAGGTGGGAGTACTGTAACATGTATATTCTGTTCTGTTTGGTTTAGTTTATCTGTGTTCTCGTTTGCCTGAGTTCCCTTGTTTGTCTCCATGGTTTTTGATTAATTACCTACACAACTGTTTCTGTTCTCCCTGATTTTTCCTTGTGCATTTAAACTCCTTGTTTAATTCAGTTCAGTGTCCAGTGTTGTTTGTAAATAGAGGTTGGTTTTTCCCCTGTGTTTACTCCTTGGATTTATTATTATTAAGACCGTCCTGGCTGCGGTCTGGGTCCCTGCCTGGCTCCTCCTGCTCCTGGCTTCTTCCTGGTCATTAGAACTGTCACTCCTTCTTTTTGCCTGCCCCTCATCTGCCCGTCATCCACCTCCAGAGCCCCTACCCTCCCTCAGTTGGGCTGCTCCACGGTGCGAGGACGTACCTTCTGGGAGGTGGGAGTACTGTAACATGTATATTCTGTTCTGTTTGGTTTAGTTTATCTGTGTTCTCGTTTGCCTGAGTTCCCTTGTTTGTCTCCATGGTTTTTGATTAATTACCTACACAACTGTTTCTGTTCTCCCTGATTTTTCCTTGTGCATTTAAACTCCTTGTTTAATTCAGTTCAGTGTCCAGTGTTGTTTGTAAATAGAGGTTGGTTTTTCCCCTGTGTTTACTCCTTGGATTTATTATTATTAAGACCGTCCTGGCTGCGGTCTGGGTCCCTGCCTGGCTCCTCCTGCTCCTGGCTTCTTCCTGGTCATTAGAACTGTCACTCCTTCTTTTTGCCTGCCCCTCATCTGCCCGTCATCCACCTCCAGAGCCCCTACCCTCCCTCAGTTGGGCTGCTCCACGGTGCGAGGACGTACCTTCTGGGAGGTGGGAGTACTGTAACATGTATATTCTGTTCTGTTTGGTTTAGTTTATCTGTGTTCTCGTTTGCCTGAGTTCCCTTGTTTGTCTCCATGGTTTTTGATTAATTACCTACACAACTGTTTCTGTTCTCCCTGATTTTTCCTTGTGCATTTAAACTCCTTGTTTAATTCAGTTCAGTGTCCAGTGTTGTTTGTAAATAGAGGTTGGTTTTTCCCCTGTGTTTACTCCTTGGATTTATTATTATTAAGACCGTCCTGGCTGCGGTCTGGGTCCCTGCCTGGCTCCTCCTGCTCCTGGCTTCTTCCTGGTCATTAGAACTGTCACTCCTTCTTTTTGCCTGCCCCTCATCTGCCCGTCATCCACCTCCAGAGCCCCTACCCTCCCTCAGTTGGGCTGCTCCACGGTGCGAGGACGTACCTTCTGGGAGGTGGGAGTACTGTAACATGTATATTCTGTTCTGTTTGGTTTAGTTTATCTGTGTTCTCGTTTGCCTGAGTTCCCTTGTTTGTCTCCATGGTTTTTGATTAATTACCTACACAACTGTTTCTGTTCTCCCTGATTTTTCCTTGTGCATTTAAACTCCTTGTTTAATTCAGTTCAGTGTCCAGTATTGTTTGTAAATAGAGGTTGGTTTTTCTCCTGTGTTTACTCCTTGAATTTATTAAAAGAACTCTCTTGGATTCTATTGCTTTGTCGTGTGCTTTATACTTAGCAACCTGTGACATTGATAGTAGAATGAAACACAAAGAAAATATTACATGTCAGTTTGTTTGTTTTTCAAGACCTGCAACGTCTATTGCTGTTTGATTCTGGCCATTGCTATTCAGGTCATTGTTAACATCTGCAAGAAGCAGGTGATTTTAAAACTGAAAGTACACACTATGAATTCAGTCATTGTGAGTTTCCTGGAACAGAGAACAAGGTCGTCATACACTCTCAGACTGGCTAAAAAGGTAGGACTCATCTCCTCAATAATAAATAATTACATTTAAATGGTCTACTGTTTATGTACAAAGTGCATACAGTAAAGATTGTTTATATTATTTTTTATTTTATTATTTTTTTTTTTTATTTAGCCATTTAGCAGACGCTTTTATCCAAAGTATAATTGATAATTTTATATTGCCATTTTAAATTCTTTGTATTCTTAAGCTTTACTATTAATTTGGAAGTTTCAAAATAAATCTTATTGTACTTGTACAATGACAAAGATATTCTATTCAATTAGCTCATGCTCTCTCTGTATCTAACAAGCCATTGTTCAGTAATAAATTCAATATAATAATTAAAATAAATGATGGACTTTGTCAAAGATGAGAGCTTTAGTGAGGAAATGTTGTTTTGGAGAGGTTTTTTTTCTCTTTTCTTTTATGCTACTATTAAATACTGTAAATACCTACTGTACCTGAAACAAATTAAATCACTTTATTTCATTTGCATCTTTCTTATTTGTTCTATTGTTTGTTTGTTTTTGCATCTTTGATGCAATTATTATTATTATTATTATTATTATTATTCATATTTTTATTTTTAATAGCACAGATCAAATAAACCAAAAATAACTACCCTGTGTTTTGATATATTGTTATTGTGAAATAAAATTACTCTAATCGTGAAATACGATTTTGGTCATATCGCTGGCCAAACTTTTGTGTTAACACCTATTGCTGAGTAAATTGAAATGCAGACAGAATGTATGTCATGCTCTTTGACACATTCTTTTTGATAACAGCTGGTGAATAAATATGAAAGAGACAGCGTTTTAAGTGTGTGTGCTATTAATTACAGAATTGAATGACAAGATGAATTGTAATCGAATTAAATCGCAAGTCACATTGTAGGAGCCTATTTTGCTTCAGTGCCATATTTTGATTCATGATATTCATATTTTGATTGATATATGAGATTCAGTGCCATATTTTGCATATCATGTGATGCATTTCATCTTTGAATATTTGTTTTATTGCTTTCATTTGTAAACTTACTGTACTCATGTATTCACTTTTATGGAATGCCAAACCTGACAAAATTAGAAATAAATAAATATACAAAGAAATGTAAAAATAAATAAATATACAAATACTATACTTTGATTTCCTTATGTATATTTGTTTATTTTTCCGCATTTTATTTATTTATTTATTTATTCTTTTATTTATTTATACATTTATTTGTTTCCACATTTATGTATTTATTTATGTATTTATTTCTACATTTCTTTGTCCGTAATGAGGAAGGCGTGTTTTATCTCAGGAATAGTAATTGAGTCAGAGTAGGCGAGGGGTAAGCTTTGAGGCCACAGTGACACCTTGTGGTGCCTAAATGAAATACAAGAAGTGTAGCCTACATGATGTGCCTGTTGATAGTGGGATGAATGGCTTAAGCCTAGTTCACACTACATGACTTTAAACGTCGGCAGATAGTTGTGCTGTTCAAACATGACTTGATTGTCTGTCTTGAAGTCGCTGTGGTGTTCACACTACGTGACACTATGTAAATGATCCACAACAGGGGGTGACACACTACACGAGCTGACAACAATTCTGTCACCCAACGACTCTATCAGGTCCCCAAACCACGTTTTGTCAACACGCGAGAAGTTGAATGGGAATGACACCAAACAACAAGTGAAAAAGGAGTTGTTTATTTGAAAATAGATGTCGAGAAGAAATCAGTGCTAATTAGAAATTAGCTGTTTGCATGATGATTTGTTCTGAAATATTCCACTCCATTTCTTGAGTCCAAACTTTTCTTAAAGCCACGTTGCTGCTGCTGTTTTTCAAAGCCACTAGAAGGCAAGCCTGCAACCTTTAGCCAAAAAATCATTAACGGCCAATGCTAACGCTTCCACTTTGGCAGTACGTGGGAAAGGAGACAAGAGGCTATTTTTTTTTTAATGGATGTCAATGGAGGAGAGGCTTCAATATGCTGAATAAACAGCTTTTCAGAGGAAACAGCTTATCATTTAATGAATTGACAGCCTATCGTCTAATCTTCAACATGTTTTACACTAAACAATACTTTTGGATTGAACTATTTTTAGAGTTTACACCTGGTGGGATTCAGCTTACAGCACTTCTCATTCATTCCTATGGTATCCGTAAACGGCGATTGAGTGTCGCACAACTCTGACTTTGATGTCAAGGCTGTAATGTGATTGGTTATTAAGGCACACGTGATCCAAGTTGACTGTTACACTTTCTCCAATAGTGAATAATACAGACCCTCGTATCTCCCAATACGCTCCGAAGTGGTATTCGAATGTATCTCATCATGCATCATGTTCTGGAAATAAATTGTGAAACTTTTTGACGAGATAAATAATAACTCCAAAATTATTAGGAATTCACTTTTGGCAGTAGAAAAAGCTCATCAAGAGCTTTCATTTGATATATATA